CAAAAAATTTGTATCATCCATAAAATACAGATTTTATCTATTTTTAATTTTTTAATACCCACGTACTCTCCGAATGGTTTCATGTAATATACAAGACCTGAAAATAATATTTGTAAATACACCTAAACAATAAATTAGTATTTTTATTTTTAACTAGGATTTCCTGTTTATATATGTACATAAAAAAATTTTAATTTTGTTTCCTAAATGTATTTTTATTTCAAGTTTATATTTATGTTTCATTGCAGCCATACTTTTGTTTATTGTGCCGAATAAATCGCGATGTTAGCAGCGTGAACATTGTACATTTGCCGTAAACTATCATGCCTGTTGGTGGTCACTCTCATTCAGTCCAGTGCAGCCGCATTTCAACATTACTGTAGATATGACAATAAGAAATATTTTCGGTACTTGAATATAATTTCTTTGAACCTTCAAACAAGTTTATTTCAACATATGTCCGTGTATGTTGTTTTACTATACAGACAAAACTAATTGCCACTACTAGAGAATGTATGTAACAGTTTACAGTACAGGTGGTTAGAACACAGCCTGACCCTAGTTACTTGATACATCCTGTTAGAAGAGATTACCAAACAAGACAGACACCATAAATTACAAAGAAAATTACTTTACAGCATTTAAAAGCTTAGTCCTGGTCACATTCCTCTTATTCTAGGCAAGATTTATGTTGGAATTCGAAACTTAAGCTCTTTAGTGTATTGAGACCCCAACTGTGAGAATATCATAGCTTCCCTGTATTATTGAGACAAATGCATTTAGTCTGTTTCACAACCAACATATGGGTTTTATTTTTGTCACTTGTACACTGAGTTTAAAACCATTTGCAAAATATCAGAATAAACTGTATATATATATATATATCATTTAGACTGTTTTAATTCTAAAGCAATAACAAAAGAAGTGTGGGTCTTCCTACAAAGTAAAAGATTGTGGTACTAGTAGTATTACGTACAAATCACGTAAGTTTATCATTCTAAATACTGAATCATATTATTATTATTATGAATTAAAAATAAAATTACACTAAATTATTGAATTTAAAACTACAAATTTAAATGCAAAAAAAATATAAAAAATCACAATCTCTTTCAGTTCAAAGTGCTAAGCCTAATTCATGTTGAGACCTTGCACTCAACACTCGATAGTGCTTAACCCTAACAATTGTGGATCAACTTCTTTCCTATAAAATATATCTACTTTTAGTTAATTTTTCAATATAATGATTAATATAAATAGATATAAGATGCAGCATGACTTAAGCTACTATAGAAAAATAATAAAAGTCATGTACATCCCATGCAGTTTTTTCCAGAATCAAGTTTTCTAACACTTATAGAAAAGTATCTTTGGCCAATACTAAATACAACCTCTACATATAATAAGTACCACCCACATTCATATTATAAAATCCAGAGAACAACGTTTCGTCACATGCTTTGCTCGTCATCCTATGATTTGTCAAATGTGAAATGCAGCGATTGGAATAATATGGTACTGAAATTAACACCTTCGACTAGGTATGGCCAAAAGTTTTACAACTGAAGTTTAACACACCCAGATGCTGTTTTATAAAGAAAACAGACTAGAAAAAGGTTTAGATACCAATCATAGATGGCAGGACCAGTGCTGAAGTGGAAGGAAACATTTTTTTTCAATTTCAAAAAAAAAAAATTCTTCTTAGAGGGCACTTATTCACGGTCTCAAACATATTTTAGGATTTTTTTCATTAAATTCCTCTTTAAACTTCATTAAATAATACAATTTTGTACAAATAATTAAATGTTATGCCACTATTTACAAAAATAAAATCTGAAATCCAATAAAAGATAAATTCTCTATAATTTTTTCAATTCACAAATGTGATTTTGCCCTCCCCATAAGACAAAATGGCCATGGCAGGTAATGGGTTAATATATATAAATCCATGTTTTTATGGATATAAACTGATTACAACAGTTTCATCAATATCTTACCAATAATTCTCGTTTCTGGTCTACTGTCATTCCTTCTTCATACAGCCCAAGAGCTTGAAAAGAGAAGAAAAATTCATAGGGTCATGAAACTGAATACTAATTACACTATAATTTTTTCTAAATTTTGAAATACACAGTTGAAAAAAAAGTTTAAAACAGAGACAGGATCTTCATTCACTATATACTTTGAAAATGACAAGATAAAACACAAGTTTTGTTTTTAAATTTTTATGTTACAACATAAAGTTGATTTACTCTTTTCTGTTCATAAACAAATCCAACTATGGTTTGAAATAACTAAAGCATACTACAAACATTACATTTTTAACAAATCATCCTATAAACTGATCTTTCACACAGTGAAGTGACTATCTCAAAACATACCTGCACCTAGGATTTCAAAATGTGTGACAAAGGATTTTAACATTCAAGTCACCATTTCTAGCACTATCCTTTCACAAGCCAAACAGAGACTACCCATTAG